ATATATATATATATATATATATATATATATATATATAGGCACTCCACACTGTCATGAAAAGTGGCTCAAAATGTAGAAAATCTAAAGGTATATGTTGTCTACTAACTTGAAAGAAGAAAATTATATAATTAATATGAATAAATTATGGGAGTAACACATACTAAGTCTATCATGCTAATATCAGCTTCAAAAGCTGCTGAAAACTTTTAAATGTGTATGGGCCTATTTGTTTCCACCCTTTGCATATGAGTCACGTAACGTGACTGTTCTATTAAAGACAATCTTCTCTGAGGTAGAATCCGTGTCAACAGCGAAATAGCCTGGAAGCAAAACATTAAAATTTAAGGTAAAATATAAAAGGTTCAATAATGATTAACTAATGACTGTTGAAGCGAAACTAAGATTAGGGGCCAATGGTTTTAGAAAATATGTCCTTTTAGTCTAGCAGATTCCTGGTTATCTTTGTGCTCTTTCAAAGAATTATGCAAATTGATGATACAAAAAAAGGCAGATGGAATAATATGAAGACTAAATTAACATTTCATCAGTACAGAGAATCTCAATTCATCACCACACTTTCATGAAGAGCAACACATCTTGGAAGAAAATTTTATCAGCAAGGGCTTATGCGTGAAGAATTCATTAATCTCATGATCTCATATCACAAATAATCAATACACACATTGCGATGTTATCTCTTACTGCAATCGAAATCCCACAAATTAACCCATCCAATAAGGCTTTTTAATACCCTTTCCTTATACCCTCTCACTCACCTTTCTCTAACCCTCTCTTCACTCTTATTGATGCAGGGAGAAAATAATAATCAGAATAATAAAATTAAAAAACTAAAAAAGGTTGAGAGATTATACCCTGGGTCTGTAAGGGAGTCCACCCAAAGACCCTTTTACAATATCCAAATACTTTACTCAATTCTAATCTCTCCCCCTTACAAAGAAGGGACACCTTCCCTTTAAATACACTTACTTGAAATAAATAAATAAAACCCACAAACAAAAATAACTTTATTTCTCTCTCTAGTCTCCACGTACCACCTTTTCAAACCCACCCTTATCTCTCTCTCATTTCATATCTTATAAAAAAAAAGTTTGATATCTTTTCTAACTCTCCCTTATCTTTTCCTTTCTTTTTCTTTTCTTTTTCCTTTCTTTTTCTTTTTCTTTTTCCTTTCATGATGCCTATCAGCCCATTAAGAGATAACAACCTTAACCCCCACAAAATATAATCTATATCCACCTAAAAATCTATCATAACCAACTCCCATAGATAATTTACTGTTCTCTCCTTTAAATATCTATCATTAAAGACGGCAATAATAGTCCTAAAGAAAACTAAAATCTCAAATAAAATATTTTTTTAAAATTAAAAAAAAAATACATAAAATTAAAAATTTAAAAACTCCAATTTTTATTTGCATCACGTGTTCTTTCTCTCCCCAAACTGTGCACATTTGAGTTGGTATGCTCTTGTTGGAGCAACCTGATGCAACCCATTTCCTCTTCATATATAACAATTAAAAATTAGCCAACTCCAAACAGTTAGGATAAGGCTCGAATGATGATGATATAACAATTAAAAATGAAATTTTTTTTTGACAATGGAACAATATTATAGAAAATTTTCACAATTTTAATATGAATTTTGGAGATTTCATTGAAACTTTTACTTTCCCCTGCCAAACTGCATAGGGATTTAAAACAATTTTAGAACATGAGGTCTACGTGAGTGGTTCCAACTTCCAACACATGCTCACTCTGTTCCCTGAGACTTAAAACCGCCCGCACACCATGCCGGATCCATCCACTAGGGTCTTTCATTAAAAAAAAAAAAGAAGAAAAGGATAACACAAAGCTATTCTGCAGAGGCACCAAATATACAGAAATATTGGATGCCCAAAAGCTATCAAAGATCATATCTCATACAAATCTTTGTTGTGCAATTCCATGCACTGGAACCACTATCATTCATATGTGCAAAATGAGTATCAATATAGCATGTAGTTTTCTAAAATGAATTCTCAAACTACTTCAGACTTATTTAATACACAACAAATTACAAGTTTGGCATCCATTTTAAAGAATTCATTGCCAATGGTCCTCATGCAGCGTAATTCGTACTCCTTAGTTAATAGTTTAATATTTCGTATTTCAAATCAAGGAAGGACTCCCTTATGCATTTCCATACTTCCTCCATTCACATGGAACAAGAGATCAACAATCAAGCCCAGATTGCAGCGAGAGCATATCAATGATCAAATGTATCCAAAGCCAGGGTATGCAGATTCCTAATATGTGTATTTCCTTATGAGCTGAAAATATGACAAGCTACCATGTTATTCATTGTAGGTATACCAAGCCCACATAGGCCTATGTTCCTAATCTATATGGCATGCAACGGGTGACCCTAGATTCTGTGGAGGACCTTAGGGAGAGGTGTTTCTCTATAGTAATCTCAGCCAGATGCGGAGTGCTCCAGCAACCAAGTATTATGGTGATTATCTAGTGCCTTTGGAAGAGCGGAATGGTCATTTATTAAGGGATCGGAGGATGCACAAGTTGGTCCTCAGGGAGAGGATTAGGATTGTGGTGATCTTGAAGGCTTGGCTTCGACCTAGTTTCCAGGTTCAAGGCCATTGACTTGGTCAAAAATTGGAAGATTTTGCCCTTATCAGATCCACCCTTGCTTCAACCCAAGACAATTTTTTAGTTGCAAAGGTGGAGAGTACTAGGAAACTAAATTTAGATGGATGTTCACAGGGTAATCTGGTGCAGGCATGTATGCTCGGAAATTTATAGATGAAGAAGGTCGGAATCTTGAAAGCTACTCAACCCACTAGAATGTGTGATTTGACATTAGTAAAAGCTCGTGCAATTGTTACAGGTCTACAAATTTGTCCCTTCCATTTAAGGAGTCAATTTGTAGCAAAAGGAGATTGTCTCAGTGTCATAAGATAGGCCTGTAAAGAGTTTTCTAGACCGTCAAGGGTGGCAATGATATGTATTGAGATTTTCGACATTGGTGACATTGATGGCGTGCGTTTTGTTACCCTCACAAAGAAAAGGTACCTTTGCACACAATCTTTGGGCAGCTAACCAGGAGGCTGGGTCATTTGCGAATTACTTTATGCTGAATCAATTTCAATGTTGGAATGATGAGATGTTGTTTTGAGATCTCTTGACCTTTGCTTTATATTAGTTTGTTTGCAATCATAGTTTATCATAAAATTTCTCATTGATGATCAAAATAAGGCATTAAAAAATAAAAAAACAATCCAAGTCCCAGTTTTCGATGAGATATCATAGTGGAATGGAACACTCCATTTATCAAAACCACCCCATTCTTCTTGCATACAGGTAAACCCCTCCAAAATTTTGAGGCTCTACAAACCACAAAACATCTCATACACTGCATCTGTCTCCTAGCTATACTGTAGGCAATAGTGTCTTCATTGTCCATGTCACTGGCACTTCTTTTTAATTTTTTTTCCTTTCGATAAATGGTTGACTGTATCACTATAATATAAAGTCTGCGCTTTCACTTCTAAATTATTAGAGAGTAAATGAAAAAATGGTTATGTTAGGGTGCTCACACTATGGAACATTTTATAGTTGTACTAAATAAATTTTGGACACTAATGTACCCTTGTTTTGTATATGGAGCATTTTCTTAGTTAGGGTATTTTTTGTCATTAAGAGGGGAATGATATCATCCACATGTGGTGTGATATAACCCACATAGAGCACACTAATGATATTTACTACTCCATACAGGTGATATCACACCCCGTGTAGATGATGTCACACCCTCCTAATGACCAAAAATACCCTTACTAAAAAAATACTCCATGTACAAAACAAGGATATATTAGCTATTCAAAATTTGTTGAGTACAATTATAAAATGCTTTATAGTATGAGTACCCTAACATAACCCATGAAAAAATGGCTAATTGACTATTTCTAGGTAATGATGGGCAAGTCATTTCCTAAAATGCACCATTTCTTTCTTATGTATCAATACCTTCTCAAAGCCACGGATATACATCATGCATACCCTTATACTACCAAAAAAGTGGTGAGATGGAAAAAACCTGAATATCAATGAAATCACTAGACTCTTCTTACGTCCATGCATGTTTGCAGGATCTAATGTCTCCATGAAGTACAGTATATCTCATAAACCACATGCTTCTCTGATGATACTCTGGAGCTGCCTAGGTATTTTGGTTGTCAATGTTTTATGTTGCTTTTGAATTATTCTAGTAAGAACCACCCACCCCACCCAAACCATACCATCACAATATATATATATAGAAGAGAGAGAGGAGAGAGAGAGAGAGTACATATATAGAGAGAGAGAGAGACTCAAACTTCAGAATATTAGCTAAAATTACACAAAGACTAGTCGTTTCATGACTTACCAAGCCTTTCAAACTGAAACTTGTCACCTAATTGAGCATTTGCAAGTGCAGGCACAGCATATGCATCAGGTACAACTTCAACGGAGTGTGGATTCAAATCACCAAGCCAATCATCGAGCTCAGCAGGGTTCTGTTGGAAAAAACAAGAAGCCTGAGTAGCTACCGGAGAAAAGCATGCCACAACTAAAAGGTTAAAATCATACACAGGAGACTGCGGAGAAAGGGCGAACCTCCGAAAGAAACAACTTCTCAAACAGCCTAACTTCAACCTTCAAAGGATCTACTCCGTGAGAAGGCTGTGCAACCCAGTGGATAACACCCTGAGACAAATTCCAGCAGTTGCAAACAATGTTAGTAGAGTACGCAAGCTTTGAAATTTACAAAACTCGTAACTGAAATGCAAGTTCTCTTTTAAATACAAACACACTAGGAATATTACGATAATTAACAAACTCATAACCTTTGGTTTTGTTGACTTAGACGGATCATATTCAGCCCGGATCTCAAGGATGGTCTCTCCATCATCCCCACGTATAACTTCCGTACACTTTATTGGAAATGCATATCTAATAGAGACAACACACCCATAAATGATTATCTCATTAACTACTGAAAGTTCAATAAAAGAATACTCTCAACAATAACTACTGGAATTTTAACAGAATATATATCAGCACCAGAGTAAAGACGCTATCAAACACAAGAATTTTACAATTCCCAATCCTAACAAAGCAACAGTTCACAAAAGCTTGTTACCATCTTATCTAAAATGAGGCAAGGAAAAGTAGCATACCTGAGAAGGATACTCTTTCCAGGAGCAAGGCCATAATAATCCTTTGAATCCTTCATCCGAAAGTCAGAACGTTCTATGTAAACAATATTGGTAAAAGGAACCTAGAAACCAAACACAGTTCCATATTAAAAGATGGATTATCAGTTATGGAGAACTCGATCAGAACAAAGAACAAATCCCCCACCCCCCCCCCAAAAAAAAAAAAAAACCAAAGAGAGTGAGAGAGAGAGAGAGGAGACCTAGTAGAAAACTTGTAAAGGCAGACACACATTCATTGAAAACAATCCAAAATACAAATGCATTATGGACAAGATCCCACAACACAACAAATTAATTCCAATGCAGTAGAAGATGACATGTTAGAGTATGCATGGAGAAAGAACATATATTTCCAAGTTAGTGGCCACCATGAACAATGGAACTGATGGGGAAAAAACAAAAGCTTCCAAAAATACAATTCATTAAACTTAGACAATGAATAAACCAACTAACCACATGCATTATTTGACAATATAGTAGATTACCCTCTGATTAGACATAGCAAAGATGCCTTAAGCAATTCCCTTACCAAATTGTTAGTTCCATGACAAAAGAAGATCAATAATTTTTTGCTGAATTATGCATCAAGTTGTACACACAATAAAAATTCAAGAGTGCCACAATGATTCTTGTTATACTTGGGCTACAAGTAAGACATATTCAGTAATTTGGAAACTAAGAAAGGAATCACAACATTGGACTTCGGCAATAGTAGTAGTCTCATAAGTAGAACTAGAACGAATGTCACACTTGATATAATAATAGATAACCTTGAAACTGTAAAATAAAATGCATAAGCTACCTTATAAAAGGAAGATTCGTTATCCAATTGGGCATCAGGCCAGATCTTTGCATTAAGCTCCATGATCATACCAGGTTTCAGATTCGTAATAATAACCTGGACAAGCAAAGAGTGTAAGAGTGATGCCAGTGGATCAGATATTGACCACTAGCTGGCAAACAATTAAATACTTCGCTTTACCTTAAGAGGATGCAGTACAACCATCGTACGAGGTGCAGTTTTGTTCATCTCTTCTCTGATGTGGTACTCAAGGCGGTCCAAGCGTATCATGGTATTATCACTGTAGCAGAATTGGTATGAGCAATTTGTTTTGTTTAAGGACATCTTTAGTAGTTTCAACAAGCCAGAAAATTACATAATTCTAACAAGATAATCATTAGAAAACACTTATGCAATAAAACATTCCTAAATGGGGCACTTATAGCATCCATATAGAAACTTAGAAGGTCACATTCACATGCATAGAAACAAGAAGTCCTAAATGTGCATGAGATTTAAAAATTAATAGTAGATGACCTTCTAAATTACCATGAGATGAGTGTAGCTGAGAAAAGGATGTTGAGATGGATGAGTGGCAAGACTAGGATGGATAGAATTCGAAATGAATACATTAGGAAGAAGTTAGGTGTGGCTCTAAAAAGCGATAAGATGAGAGAAAATAGACAAAGGTGAGCTAGTCATGTGCAGCGCAGACCTAATACAGCAACTGTTAGGAGGTGCGAGTTGGTTCAAGTGGAAGGCTCCGAAAGGGTAAGGGGAAAGCCCAAAAGGATATGGTCGGAAGTAGTGAGAAAATTTACAGGGACTTATGATGTCACTGAGGGTATGGCCCTTAATAGAGCAAAATGGCATACTGAGAAAGAAGCTCAATGAACCATTGTGTGTGCGTGTGTATGTGTGTAGGGTGCAGTTTGTACAAGGTGCCGATTTTAAACAATCTAAGCAAGGTGCAACTCAAAATCTTATTAAAAGATGCAGTTCCAGTGATGGAAACCCTTAAGATTACCTCAAAATCTATGTTCGCCCTTAATTATAAACTTTAAAGCTCAAAACATAGTGTAGATCGCGCAGAACTATAAACACTAATTTTTTTTTATAATGGACGTTCTAGATAATGTGTTACATGATGCATTACTTCCAAAACTAGAAATCTTTTCTCTTTCATATCCATCATCTCAAGGACAGGTCTATGAGGGGTGAGGACCCCATCTCAAGCCCAGGTAAAGGACGTGGGTTGTGTTAGGTAGACGACCAACATAAATTTTTGGCAAAACCTTCTATGAAAGCCAACCGCAAATGGTTAGGAAAAAGCTCTGATGATGATGATCCATCATCTCAAGGTAGAGATGATCAATTGTAGTGTTTTTTAACATCAGAAAAAGCTATTCAGGTGGATTTTTAAGGTGCACCTTACTTCTACAATATAAGGTTGACACCTTATATAAAATTTTTCCACATATACAATTTCAACCATTTCCTCACAAATCATAAAGTGTCCACAGATAGAAAGCTCAGAACAATCAAACATTTTTTTCATTTGAGTGTAACTTCACATGATGTAATCCTAAATTTCATTAATCAGCAAACGATAAGCTTGCTTTGAGCCACTCATACTCCATGTGTATGTTACACAATGTCCGCATCAAGCAGATCGCTAAAGTAGCCCCATATTATATATTACTTGATGTTGCACCCTAGACTGATAGTTAGATGTGTTCCTCATGACTTAGGTCCTTTACAAATTAGCGAAGGTCCTAAAATGACATTTCAACACTCCAGGTCCTTTACAAATCAGTGAAGGTCCTAAAATGACATTTCACCACTCCAGAGGAATTATATCATTAATGAAATAAGTTGAATTATTCAATATATTGTAACACAACTTCAACCCCAAAGAGGACACTTCCAATCACCACAAATGTGATGTACTTGAAACAAAGTATGTCTGAGAAAATAATTAAAGTATGAACTATTTTCTAATTTTTCTAAATAACATCAAAATGTGAACAAAAGTATAATTCTTCAAGACAATCAATGGCTCATATTAAGTTGCACACAACATAAGAAATTGGCACAAGCAGAATGGCACAGATGGAAGGCAAAGTGGCCGTTTCTCACCAGGACCACAAATGTTCTGTTATTCTACAGGATATAGAGAGAACTCAGCTAGGGAACACAAAACAAAAGACAAGGAGAAACTGAAGATATATCCACCACTACAACTCATACAAGAAAGTACTTGTGTATGAACTCCATGAGTGCTAATGAAGTCCTTATGTTTGTCTGTTATGATAATGCATAGATCCAAATATTTTTCTAACAATGTTGAAAACGGTGGATTCATCCTCCTAGGCAGCGAGATGGATGCCTGCTTACATTGGTGGCCTGTTGAGGGTAAGAAGTGATGGGAATTGAGAGAGAAAGGAGAAGCATGAGAGTTGACTGAGCAGCTATGTTTGAGAAAGATAGGTTTGCACGAAGGACCGCATGAGAGCAAGAGGGGGTTGTTCTCCAGCTTGTAGAAACCTCTTGAATTTTAGCAAGAAACAAAAGGCATACACTATAGAGTTCCGGGGGAGGGGTTGGGGAGGAGGGGATGGGGGGGGGGGAGAGAGAGAGTTTTCACAAGTTTCAAAATGGTTAATATAATGATGAAATAACAAAAAGAAACTTCAGAGACTCACATGAAGGATATACACTTTACCTACCTTCTAAACTACCTTATTAAACATTTAAAGAAATCATTTTATATTTGCTTCCCTAGTTGCTCGAATTGACTGGACACCAGAAGCTTGCCTTGAACTTCTAAAACTGTCATTAAACAGTTAAATAATTCACTTTATATTTACATGGACATGGAAATATTAGAAGCCCCATTTCTAGAGCACTATGCTCCATGTCTCGTTGTTCCCACAAGAGTTCTCTTACGAGCCTTTTGGCAATAACACAAGGCCTACGTGCCACAAAAATATCATCCTCGTGCACATAGTTCTAAAGTGACAGTGCAAGACCTGTTCTTTGCATTAAATGGAGAGAGTCTTTCCTGACATCTCGTGAAATTTCTGTCACTGAGTTTGGTTAACTGTGATTGATAACATTCATGGTTAGGGCAGCAAGATAGGTGAAATTAGCACTGGAAACCACTAATCAGGGCGAGTACTCAGCCCATGCCCGATCCAAGTATTCAGCTCGTGTCTGAGTAACTCGGCCCGAGTAGGGCTGAGTACTGTAGCAGAAAAAAAAGGCTAAAACAATTATAAAAAAATACAAAAAATATCTACAAAAAAAGGAAATGTATGTTTAAATTAAGATTAAATAAAAAAAAGGTACCAAAAAAATAGATTTAAAAAAATCAACTTATGACTTGGGTATTTTCAAAAAAATTCCAAAATGAAAGGAAAATGTAAAAATAAGTATTCATGGCCAAAACACTTTCCAATCTTTATCAAAATGATAGAAACCATTAAAAATATATATCACAAATAAATTCCTTATTTTTTGAGATTTTTGATGATTTTTTGAATTTTTTAATATCCCCGAGTTGGACACCCAACGCGGGAGTAGTCAAACACTGGTTGAAATGTTCGCAGAAATTTGTCAAAAATTATGGCACAAAATGTGGTTATTCCTATGAAGTTCTTATTGCTTTTCAAAGTAAAGTCAAGTCAAATGTTGAACGAAAGTTTAATTGGAAACAAAAAAGAGGCCAAAATTTCACTTGATTCCATCGTTACTCTCTTTTAAAAGCATAATAACAACCAACTATAGACGGACAGGCAGGCAGGCTTGGGGGGCTGCAGGCTAATAGTGGGCACCATGGTGCCCGCCTAGGAGGCAAGGCATCAGGCAAATGCCTAGGCAGTCTATAGGGCTCCTGGTAAGGCGCCTTTTGATGGGGCCAAACTAGTAACTGCCTAGGCATGAGGTCATCGACTGCCTAGCCTGCGAGGGGGAGGAATTTTTTAACATCGCTTTCAATAAACCTTCATTAGGAACTCTAACAGGTAAGAGTATGGAGTTAGTAGATACAATGAGAGGAAAGAGAATTAATATAGCATTAGCCACAAGAAACCAAATGGAAAGGGGCAAAAGCTAAGGAGATCGATGGATCTAAACTTTGGTATATAGGAAACGATAATAAGACAAATGACATAGGCATAATAGTAGACAAAGTAGTTGATGTCAAGAGAGTAGATAATAGGCTCTTATTAATTAAACTTATGTTGGAGCAGTAGTTAATTAATATAATTAGTGCTTAGGTGTTGCAAGTAGGACTAGATAACAGAATTAAGAGACAATTCTGGGAGGACATGAATAAACTGGTATAAGAAAATACCAAATGGAGAGATGACTTTTTTAGGAAGGAACTTAAATGGTCATATAAGAAAAGATAGTAGAGGATATGATAGAGTACATGGAGGATGTGGTTTTTAGGAAAGAAATGAGACGGGTGATGCTATTTTGGAGTTTGCAATGGCTTATGACCTATCAATAGCAAACACCTACTTTAAAAGTGAGATGAACAGTTAATAACTTATAAAGTGAATCGTATAAAAGCCAGATAGATTTCTTTCTAGTTAAGAAGGCAAATCGACCATCATGTAAAAACTGTAAGGTTACCCAAGAGAGAGTTTTACCATGCAACATAGGCTCATTGTGATGGATGTCTGCAAAAAGAGATGGAAGAGAACGAGTGAAATTAATAGGTGTCTAGGTACTACGTGGTGGAATTCAAAAAGTGCAAAAATAGACTTATTTAAGAATAAATTCGTAAAAGAAGAAAAATGGAATTCTGAGTAAGAAGTTAATATTATGTGGAATGAGATAGCTGGTTGTATTAAGAAAGTGCAAAAGAAGTTTTAGGAGAAAAAAAAGAAATCCTGATAAGGGAACTTGGTGGTGAGTGATGAGATTTAAAAAGCTATTAGCAAAAAATAATCCTGTTATAAACCTTGGCAATGTAATACAAATGGCAAAAACTTAGAAAAACACAAAAATGTTGTAAACTTAAGGCATATGATGATCCATATAACAAACTGGGAACAAGAGAAGGTGAAAAGATATCTTCAAACTAGCACAAATGAAATAGAGGAAAATTAGGGATATAGATCATAGTAAATGCATTAAGAGTGAGGATCAAAGAGCATTGGTGAATGACGACGAGGTCAACGAAAAGTGGTTAAATTTATTTTCAAAAATTGTTAAATGACAAACACTTTGGGAGCATAGTGTTAGGAGAAACTTTCAACATAAACGAGGTTGAAGGTCATAAATACATTTGCAGGATTATGATATCTGAAGTGAAAAAAGGTTTGAGAAGAATGAAGAAAAGAAAGGCTTTAGGAACAGATGGTATCCTCCTAGAGGTTTGGAAGTGCATGGGAGAGATGGGCATATTCTGGTTGACCAAGTTGTTCAACAAGATGTTGGGAATAAGAAAATGCCACAAGAATGGATAAAAAATATTGTGATACCTATTTATAAAAACAAATAAAACATACAGAACTATACGAACTACTGGGGGATCAAAATTATGTGCCACACTATGAAGCTATGGGAGAGAATAATGAGAAACAACCATGATGTCAAACGAGTGTATTAGAAAATCAATTCGACTTTATGCCAAGGAGGTCAACAATTAATGTTATTTTCCTACTTAGCCAATTGATTAAGAAGTTTAGGGAGAAGGGAAGAGACATTCACATGGTCTTTATTAATTTAGAGAAAACATACGATAGGTTACCTTGGTAGGTATTGCAGAAGAAAGGAGTCTCAAGGGGATATATTGATATTATAGGAGATATGTACGACAAAGCACAAACTAGAGTGAGGACAACTAGTGGAGACAAGTGAGTTTTCACTGACATCTACAAAACAAGGTATTGTGCTCCATGTTGTTCACGAAAGACAGTTTTGGTTTTGGATGAGTCAGCACTAAGCCCATATCCCTTTGTTTTGGTTATGGACGAGTTAACTAGGCATCTACAAAACAAGGTATTGTGGTCCATGTTGTTCACGAATGACAGTTTTGATTGATGAAACTAGAAGCGGCGTCAACGCAAAGTCAGAACTTTGGAGGGATGCTTTATAATCTAAGGTTTTAAAATTAGCAGGACAAAGATAGAATATAAGAAATGCAAGTTTACTGATAATAGGAGTAGAACAGGGAAGTTGTTAAAGGCGGATGGTCAAAAAATACCAAAAAGAGATTATTTTCGATATCTTGGGTCGAGAATCCAAGAGAATGAAGATATTGAGGAAGATATAGCATATAGAATTAGAGCTAGGTGAGCAAAGTTGTCATGTGCATCCAGAGTTCTATATGATTGCCGCATACCAATGAAACTAAAGGAAAAATTTATAGGTCGGCTGTAAGACCAGCCATACTTTATGGGATGGAATGTTGGGCAGTCAAGAAACTGACATATTTATAGGATAAGTGTAGCTGAGATGAGGGAGATGAGGATGTTGACATAGATGAGTGGTGTGACAAGAAAATGATAGAATTCAAAATAAATACATATGAGGGAAACTTAAAGGTGCCTCCAATAGCATATAAGATGAGGGAAAGTAGACTAGGTGGGCTAGGCATGTGCAGCGTAGACCTAATACAACACCGAATAGGAGGGGCGATTTGGTTCAAGTGGAAGGCCCAAAAGGACATGGATGGAAGGCCCAAAAGGGTAAGAGGAAGGCCCAAAAAGACATGGATGGAAGTAGTAAGAAGGGATATGGTGACTTATGGTATGACTGACGGTATGGCACTTGATAGAGCAGAATGGCAGAACTCATGTAGCAGACCCCAAATAGTTGGGATAAAGCTTTGATGATGATGAATGAAATGCACTTTTGTAGACCTTTTCTATGTCATGCAGTTTGCATATGTTGTGCCTCCAACATATTCCCCAATGGAAGAAGGTAACTTGTTAGAAAGTTGCATGTGGGGTATGTACTAACCTCCATGATTGCAACAACTAGCTCAACCAACCTAGTCCATCACAAAACCAAACTCTTAAGGGGATAAATAGCAATGCCTTCAACACATGATTGTCTAAGATAAAAGCACCATATCAAAAAGAATCCAAAGCTACTCTAAAATGAAGTTTTTCAAATAGTGACCAATGTCAAAGAACGTCCCCATAAAACCATTTTATCAATCATGAGATCTATAGAAGGCATACACTAACCTCCTCGTAATTCCAATTCCCTGAATAAAAGCATTAATTGAACTTGGAGACACTCCTCGACGCCTTAAGCCAGCTAGTGTCATTAAACAAGGATCATCCCAACCATTAACCCATTTTTCCATCACAAGCCGATTCAACTACACATAACAATGACAAGCATATGGTAAGTAACATTACAGAAAAATATGTGCAAAGTAATACAAATGCGAGTAAGTTGAAGTCATACCTTACGCTTGGACATCACTGTGTTGGTAACATTCAACCGTGAATATTCCCACACATGAGGCATATAAAGGTCTAATGCCTCCAGTAACCAATAGTATGATGCACGGCGGGTCTCAAATTCGAGTGAGCATAACTGCATACAGATGCACATAAAAATTGAGAGAGAAGAGAGAGAATGTAATAGTTAATCATAAGATAAAGTAAATATGTCTTTTTCACTTTATACAAATAGTGGTGCAATTTGCCATATATATACACATAGATCCCTATGGGAGTTACAATATAAGTAGGTCATAGCCATTACGCATAACTGTTACAACAGGCAATCACCCAAATGTGGTAAATGTTAGAGCAGGAAAATCACCCAAATATGATAAAATATTATATAGATTATCACCACATGCAGGTTTCCATCATAGGCATAGCTCATGCGGGGGCGTGGGGCCCATAAGGATATAACAGTCACTAAAAATACAAACTACAACAAGAGAGGGAATGCTAAAGTTAAATAAGAAATTGTCTACTCAAACACAAACAAGTGTACAACACCACAAAATTAGATATCATAGAATATAACATATCAACATATCAAAAAAAATTAAAGCAAACAATTCATTCATAACATATCCATACGTTATGCTAATAGCTATATGTTGAAAAATCTACAAGAATAATGACCATTTTTATTGTATTTTCTCAACAACAAAAAAAAGACCATTTTTATTGTAGTTATATAGTTACGGGGTATTCAGCTATCCACTCAGTTCAAAAAGCACCCAAGGAGGAATAAAACTGAGATTAGGATGCCAGACTCTACTGAACATGCACAAAGGATACTTTGAAAACAGCTATTGGTTGAAATAAGGCAAATCTAAGTCATCTAACTGAAACAGGTTTTGGAGGGTCTCTAGAGTCCTCTACAACCTCCATCCTACTGTTCATTGGTAACACTATTCCCTGGTCTGTTCCTATGGACACATGCCTCCAATCGATTCGAACTTCTGTATATCGCTCTGATCAGGTCTTGGGAAATGGTCAAAGGTGTGATTTTTTGAAAAAGATTGAAGGTTGGCTGCAGCCTTTAAGTCACAAATCTCACAGAGTGAAATCCCGATGTCCAACCGCAAATGATTGATGAATGGATACACAATAATGTCATCAAGCACGCATAAATACTTGAATAGCGACAAGGTTATAATTAGGCTCTTCCTCTCAAGTAGTTCTGGGGAGGCACAAGCTATGAAAAGAAAAAGCCACTGTGCTATGGCGAGCTGCCTCTCCAGCCACCATCTCACATATCTGGAGGGAGATGAATACCAAGGCTTTTGGAAAGAGTCAATGGCAGAGAGACAGATCCATACCATCAGAGAGAATGCCACATTGTGGCCCTTTCTCAAATCTGATTATAAAGGATAAGTGGGCTTAAGACTTTAAATTGGGCTTGTCCTTAATAGGCAATCAAAAGGATGCAAAGGAACTTATGGATAGGAATTCATGGCGCAATAAAACTTATAAGATGAATTTTCAGGAATATGAGATATTCATTGCACCATAAATGGATCTTTAGAGAATTATAAGCTGTTTCAATGAGCCTTTTGGCTCTTGTGTGTGGTGAGAACTGAGAACAGAAGCCTTGGTAGAACTACAAAGTCCGACTGGTAAACAAGGAATTTAGTATGATGGCCATTATCAAAGGAATGAGTTTCATAAAAATTAAATGGCTATAAGCAAAATCTCCAATTTCAAGGAGATAGGCTGGAATTTTTTCAAAATTTGATGACTTCTCATTTATTTCATGCAATACATTTGATTCTTTTCTTGTCTTTTTTTTCTTTTGGGTAGTTCAGTGAGGAAGGGGTTCAGTACACATGGTAGGAATGGAACTCAAAATGTCACATTGTGGCGCCCCGCCACCCTGACCACCTAGCATTGAGCGCATTCTTAAAACACCAAGGGAAGCAAATTCCAAGGCAAATATTAGCTCATGTGGTAGTAAACAACGATGGTTTCATAGGCTTCCCTAACAGCTCTGGTACCTTTTGATCCTTTCTGTTCTTTGGTAACTTACCAAATGAAGAGCAGTTTCTGGTGATTACTCATAAAAACTTATCTCACTAGCACTAATTAATCATGCCCCACTAAAATTTATTTTAAAAACAACAAGATAAAATCATGCCACTGCTAAGTAATACCACAGATGTTGACTAGGTATTTCCAGGACTAGAGATATAATGATGAGGAAGTTTTATGAGTCCAACATCTGGAAATATCAAAGCCTCCACAGTTCTATTTCAGGCAGGATGTAGACAAGCCATTAATGTTGTCCCATGTCCAATGTTAAGCTTCTAGCAGAGTCCAGATCTCATATCAAGGATTTTGTCTGGAAAATTTTTACTGGCAGGGTTACCGATTTTCATTGTGAGCTGAGCTTTCCAGTTATAAAATGGAAAACAATGGATTTAACCAAAACATGTTGGGGTCCTTCTGGCAGTGTGTGTTTCCATATTTAAACTTGGTCTCAAGTTTGAATCCTGCAGTTGTCTTAAAATAAAACATTTTTTTGAAAACTGAAAAACATGCTGCGCTTTATTTCTAAAATTCAAAACCTGAGCAGATTGACTTGTCTTTCACTGTGACAGAATCAGAAACTGAGTATAAGTTTTGGACACCGGTTTCAAGAACCAGACAACCAGGATTGTATTCCTGCTCCAAATACCTAATTACACACCATGAGGATGGCACTTGCTCACATGATAATGGATGACATTCTCATCTGCCTAATTGTGCTCCCATATGGTCCATAATGGGGGCAGATAAAACAAATTGAGTACATTTCATTGTTATGGGCAACATCCTAATTCGAACTATGTAAACAAGTGGAGCACTTCAGAGAAGCACTTGTCAAGTGCCATATGAGTGGGATGTGGTCCATCCTAATAGGATTCACAAAGCATTCTTACATGTGTTTAGTTTTATTTGGTTACTAATAATTAAGTAGGCCTCTGTTCAGGACAAAAACTAAGGATGAACAACATATTATGCTATATTGCATGAACCAGAGCTGTAATCTACAGCTTTTTTTAAGAGAATACCAAAGACACGAAGTAATCCCAGTTTAATACAAGACTGAATATAATATCACCAATTTGGTGTACCAAATGGGACTTGAATAATCTATGGTAGAAAACTCACCGAATGTGTGACATTTTCAAGGGAATCCACTATGCAATGAGCGTAATCGTAACTTGGATATATACACCACTTGTCTCCTGAATGTGGATGAGGAGTAAACTGGATAGCAAATACCAGATATTCAAATACAAGAAGAGAAGATGATAATACCGAGAAAAACAAAGAGATAAAGTACTTAAATTACCTTTATTCTATAAGCAATCAGATCATACATGTTGTAGTTATCACTCTGCATATCTTGTTTCATCCGCAGGGTGGCTTTCCCCTCTTCAATCATGCCTCGCCTCATTTGATCAAACAACTTTAATGATTCTTCAATTGGTCGATTTCTCCATGGGCTATCCAATTTTTTTTCTCGATATTCCTTAATCTCCTCGGGCAGCTATAACCAATATCTCCATCAGCTAATCAACACTTTACATGAAAATATTCTAGCTTAACTTTAGCATGAACAAGACACAAATATTACAAAAATCTTCAACTGAAAATGTGTTTGAACATGTGTGCGGATCCATATGTTTCAAAAATCCATAACCACATGCACAAGTGCATGATTGCAACCAACATACATGCAAATGCCTAAAAGAATGCACACGCCCAGAAACCCAATCACACACATGGAGACACATGGACAAATGTTTGGCTCTTTACGATCATGATACAAAAATATCAATCAGTTGTTCCCGGCATGCTTCAGTCTCTCCTTTTGGTTCATACCTGATGATCAACATAAGCATAACCCCGCTTAATCAACTCCACAGATAGATCATAAAGATCTTGAAAATAATCACTGGTGTACGTCACCTGCCAAGTACGAACTTAGTCAGATATTGCACACATCAAGGAGCAATAGCTTTAATAGCACAAATAGATATACCTTGAAAGGGGTCCAACCCATCCATGGAACAATTTCCTGCATGTGATCAATATATTCCTTTCTTTCAGCTTCAGGGTTTGTATCATCAAACCTAGAAAGCTCAATCAAAGCCCAACAACCAAGCAATATAATCATCGCAATATCACAAATACAAAAATAGAAAGTCATCAAAGCTATTACCAATATCAACACCCAACTGTGTAGATCAAGCAAAACTTAGAAGACAGGTATTTTTTGTTAATTTAAGCCATGTCACAACAAAATAAGCTTTTATTCTTTGGAAGTGTATAAGACTTGAACTAGACAAACCAAATGGTCTTTTTTTAATCTTCAGTCCTCAGTATAAAATATAATTTTTTTTTTTTTTGAAGATGAGAAGACAAGGGATCAAAATGGGTATGGGCATCATAGCGAACTTGAATTCGATTGAAGAAGATAACAAGCTTTCTGAGATGCCATTCATTGTGGTCCTCAATTCCTCCATTAAACTGGAAAGACCCATACACAAAGAGGCCATGCTCTGTTTTTTTGGCCAAGCCCCTCGTTGTGAGCGATGACCTTATCAAATATACAAACAACCAAGAGCGTAACTGAAAACATCGCCTATTTCTAACCCATGGCATAACCTTTGCTCAAAGATCACCCTTTCATTAAAAAAATATACAAGATTTGATAATGAAAATTAAAAAGTGGAAGTAGCTCAGAGTAATTTGGTACAGGTACAGCCATCCGTGAGGAGTCGGGGCATTGCTCTAATAGATAATCATTGCCCATTGATATAAGGCACATCAGCATAACTAACTAATACATGATACTTTCAATGGAAAAGGTTCTTAACCACAGGTATCAACATCATGATTCACATGGCCATGCCTAATAACAAGCATCAATTTTAGTGGTTGCAGCCTGATGAAAAAGAAAGTGCTACATGCTCTACCACTTTGCAAGTGGAAAAACAGCCAAAGAATGCCTGCCTGAGTGAGCACCATATCCTTCACATGGCCAATTATTAAAGAAAACCTCTTAAATTCCATGAAGGACATAAAATATAATATGCATCATTCAACAACCAACTAATAAGATGGGGCCATGAAGAATTCTCTATTCTGTGGAGGTTGGCTATGATGTTTGGTGAGATGTGTGATATTTGTGACACTAGCAATGCAATTTTTGTGCACATCTTAGGGGAGCTAACCAAGTGGCTGATACCCTTGTTAATGAAGGCGTTTTTTGATAATCTTCTTTCTTTTTAAAGTCTATGTCCAAAAAGAAAAATCAATCTTGGAATCCTTAGACATTGCCTTTTTGAAGCTGAAGACAGTATATACATTAATAAGGTCACCAACACAAAAGTCCCCCACGAGTGATACGAAAAGGCGGCCTGCGTGTGGGGTACTCAAGTATAACATACAAAGGAAATCAAAAGGAGGACCTTTTAGCATCAGAAAGAGAGGTCCAAGGAAAATGAAACAACAGCTTAGACAAAATAAGGAAAGAGATACAAGGTGCTCTGTTACATATAAACATAAGTCAGCAATGTAGCCAGTAAAATAGGCTTTCATAGTCAAAAAATGTAGGGAAACAGTCAAAGGAGAGAGGGTTGTAAGTGTGATACAAAAGTCAGTAATGTAGCAAGAAAATAGGCTTTCATCGTCAAAAAATGCAGGGAAACACTCAAGGGAAAGTGGGAGAGAGGGTTGTAAGTGTGAGACAAAATCAATGAGTGTCGGGGGGGTAATGGGGCAACTAAGGTCAAAGATAACAGAAGAGCGATGAGAAAGATAACAGAAAACCGAATAAGAGATGAGGAACGCATCCTGATCCTGAGATGTTGTCTTAACATCTCTTAACCTCTTTTTTTTTTTTGCTTCTCTGTATTTCTATTTTAGTAAAGAAATTTTTTGTCAATGACCAAAACAAAAAGTGCAACAAAGAAAAAATCACGTAGTCAATGGATCACTTTCACAGAACACAACCTTAACTCAAAATGCTTGTATATCATGGCATTTTTAACACGTATGTCATGCTATGAGACAAAAAGTAACATAATCGCAATCCCAGGCTTTCACATCTCTGATTTATCTCATTCAATGTACTCTTCTTTCTTTTTTTTACTTGGTGGGATGGAACTCAAGATGTCACATTCTGGTACACCTCCATCCTGACCACCTATGCCTTGAGCCCATTCATAATATACTACTATATACTAAGAATGGGTTTGGGGTTGTTCCAGTCAGGTTTTATAACTAAACTGCCTCATTCCCTTCAGTTGGTCAAATTTTAACTTAAAAAAAAAGCATCCATTCCCTTTCCCAAGGACTCCAAGTACTCAGAAGCGTTAAACTCGCCCAGTCTCTATGTAGATTCAATGAGCATCCATCAGAATCAGGGGAGTTTTCTGTTTTTCTTTTTGAACGGGACGTTAGGAGACAGCCAAGCCATATTGACTGAGGCAAGACCTGCTCCCAAATGGGTTTTTTTTAAATACCAGGTAAACAACAGCAAAAAAAAAAGCACACATAAGATTATGAAAGAGAAACAACATGTGCAGAAAAGGATATTTGGTCAATTAAGTTGAAAGTATCAATGTGTGTGAAAATGGGTACAAAGTACGAATAAGAAATTCCGTCGAAGGCCACAAAATCTAACACAAAGATGAAAATTTTCGGAGACAAAGATAACAATGATGTAATCAAGTCATAATTAGGCCAAGATTACAAGGCTACCCACAATATTGAGTATCCTTGAGCCCACTGTTGATACCAACTGTATGGAGAATCTAAGCACGTCGATTCAAAGGCACAATTTGTATTAAGAAAGAGGAATTGGCAAATTAATTTGGCCCTTTCAAGGAATATTGAAGTCTCGTTTGAGCCTCTAGCTTTGTTGGCTTGGGACTATGTCTGTGAAAAATATTCTTTGTAGCCAGTAAATATTGATGAGTGTCCCTCATTGTGGTTAAATCGCATAGTAAGGACACTTCTTGTCATTAAGATTTTAGATGTACTTGTTCGTTTTTGTTTTGCTGTATTCACATTCCACATAGTTGTGCACGGCGCAGCTCATTTGATTGACTAGGATAGGGTTGGGATTGCAAGATTTCTGATGGCATTAAGAGGATAGTCATTGATCTTAATGAAAAAAATTGGGAAAATTATAGATAGCCCCACCCCTCCAACAAAAAAAATCAACTTTCTAGACATCCTACCCGCCGATACTTTTTCTCTTACACCCTAGACCCCAATACTATTTTTCTAGTACTGATCCCCCCAATCAAAAAGTCAATGAATTTGGAACCAAAATACCCTTTTCAAATGTTTAGTCACGTGCTCTCTCACTTTCTCTCTCCACCCCCCCTCTCTTTCTCTCTCTACCCGCCCTCTCTCCACCCGCCATCTCTCTCTACTCTCTCTCATTCTCTCCAACCGCCCTCTCTCTCTCATTTTCTCTATCTTTTTCTCCCTCTCCACCTGCAATCTCTCTCTACTCGCCCTCTCTCTCATTCTCGGTTTCTCTCTCTCATTCTCTCTCTGTCTTTCTCTAAATCTCTCTCTTCTACCTGCCCTCTCTCTTTCTCTCTCGAAATTCCTCTCTCTTTCTCTCTCGATAGTCATTGATCTCAAAATTCCAGCACCCAGAAATTTTTTTTGCAGTGCAGCAAATTTCTGTGCCGGACCACAAAAAAAAATTTCGGTCCGACTCCTAATGTGTTGAACAGGTACAATTCCAACAAATTCCATCCAATCAATTGTAATGCGGTCCAACACCCAGTGTGCCGAACTGGTATAATTCCAATAAATTCCAATCAATTGTAATGTGGTCTGACACTCACTGTGACAGATCGAAAATGTTTTGCGATCAGGCACAAACTTTCATTCCGGCACTCACTGTGCCTAACTGCATTACAGGCCTACATATTATTATTTTTCTGAGTGGTCTGGTACAGTGAGAGAGAGAGAAAGGCAGAGAGCGACTGAGAGAGGTAGAGAAAGAGAGAATGAGAAAGGGAGAGTAGAGAGAGATGGCTGGTGTAGAGAAAGTAGAGAATTAGAGAGGGCGGGTAGAGAGAAAATGAGAGAGGGAGTAAAGAGATGGCGGGTGGAGAGAGAGAGGGAGAAAGAGAGGGGCGGGTAAAGAGAGAAAGAGAGAGGGGGTGGAGAGAAAGAGAGAGAGCACGTGACTAAACATTTGAAAAGGGGAAGAGAGAGGAAAGGGTATTTTGATCTCAAATTCATTGACTTTTTGACTTGGGGATCAATACAAAAAAAACAGTATTGGGGTCAAGGGTGTGAGAGAAAAAGTATTGGGGGGTATAGTGTATAGAAAGTTGATTTTTGGGGGTTTTAATTTCCACAAAAAAACTTTTACTTGACAAGAGAATATTATGAAGAGAATAGTCCCACCAGTCCCCTTGAACAAAGATACATAAGATCACAGAAAAACACTTGCATGAATAGTAATACATCCCTATTTATCAAACCAAAAATACGCAAAAGGTAAAATACACGTTCAAGCTTACCGTAGATAACAGCATCCATCCCTCTCCTTTGCCAAACCAAAGTCAATATATAAAGCCTGTAGAGCATTTGTCTTAGCCTTACCCAAGAGATAGTAATAATTACACACTTGCCACTATCTTCTATAAAGGGTCTGGAATTACCTTGGCATGACCAATGTGAAGATACCCATTCGGCTCTGGAGGAAAACGTGTATATACTCTACCACCTGTTACCTTCAAGTGCTTCTCAAGCTTTTCCTTTGTATTGTGCGGCCTCCATATGGTACCATTACTAAAGAAGATCTCAGTATGCACCTGGTAAACACACGAGGAAGATTAGGTGCAGAGACATTGATTTCTCTCAGTAACAAACCAATCTGAGTGCCAGTATTTTTTAAATCAAGGAGTAGAACAAGCTATGAAAATTCAATATCACAAAACCAGTGAACAACAAAAGGGAAAGAGACAATGACAGGATATTCTTTGAAATGAGGGATGTGTCAGAACTATAGTGGCTCCACTCAGGAGCATGAAAATTTTTCTAGCAGGACAGCTTGAAAGTCAAATATAAGCGGGATAATCATTTGATCTTCAATCATACATGAACATCAAAAAGAATATGTTGAGGAAAATAATTCAATAAGAGCACCCATTACTCGGTTTAGCCCACCAAGCTTGGTCAGTAAATGCGTGGGCTCTGTCAAAGCTCACCCAGTCAAAAATCGGGCCCGTTCCAGAGCAGATTTCAGCAAATACTTACAAATACATCCACATTTTGCTGAGCATGGTCAACCCAGACAAGTCATCAAGATATACAGGCTGATGTAGACAGAACTTTCTAAAGAAAGAAATCTGCTCAAGCCTGCTAAGGTATAGCCTGATGTTACTTTCTGATATATTAACATCATCTGTATTTCTTCTATAGATGTATTTATACAAGTAAATGGTAAAATATCTTATGTTTAATTGGTACACAGCTAAGTACGTGTTTCACTAACATGAGACCAAGATCTATTTAGGGAAAGAACATGATCTATATGATCATAGAAAAAATGTCGTCACGAGTGCCATCTTCCGAAAAACTGATGGATGGTGATAGACAGAAAGTGGAACCCCCCACTAAATCATTTCATGCTCTCATGAGTCCCTCACATCATTGTCTGCCTATTCATTGGATGGTTATGACACAAAGAAAAGAGTTTTTCTGTAATCATATGGATCGTAGTGAAGTTTCCAATCTATTTAACCCTATCTCAGTTTTACAATTTCTGTAATCATATGGATCGTAATGAACTTTGCAATCTATTTAACCTATCTCAGTTTTACAATCACACCTCTCCTCCCTCGAAGGGCATGCAACACATATGCTCAGCTTAAAGGCCACCTCAAGCCAACCTACTCACGACTCAAATTAAATACAATGTTCAAAAGGCAGCCAAAGGTGGGCACCCAGATGCCTAGACAGCCTAGAATGAGAGTGCAATACATGTGATGGAGAGACTGGGAGAGAGAAGGGTGTGTGTGGGGGAGAGTGACAGCAAAGGGGGGGGGCACACGAGTTGTAAATAATGAAGCGAGATAGTGTGCCATAAATGTAATGGAGAGAGAGTGCAATGAACAGAGATTGCCATAAATGCAATGGAAAGAGTGCAATAGATGCTATGCCTTTTTATCTCTCTATCATTGTTTTTTCTTTTGCTTTTTCATTTTTTTTTTTTAACCCCTGCTTTTTAAGCCAAGGCACCCCACTTAGACAGGAGCCCAGGTTTATGCCCGCATACGGCCCCTTCACTTCGGAAGGCTGCCTGGACCACCTTGGCGGCCAGGCGGTCGAATTTTTCATAGAATACTGTGTGATTCAGAAACTTTAGAACCTTGACAGAAAAATGCTATAAATGAAGCACATAGGCATTGAAGGGTAAAACATAGACCTCTGCAGCAACAACTAAAAGACCATTTAAAATACTTCCTGCTACAATTTACATAACAGACGATGAAAGAAGTTCCCTAGAAATACAGTGGAAGTTTCCTTAAAGCAGTGTAACCAGTAAATTATGGATTGGTAGAGACTAAATATGCAAAAAACAGTGCACAGATCATAGTTGTATAAAAGGCCCTAAGATTGAAGATTGAATACTACCAGCTGATAGATACCAGAAAAGTACACGTAATAGATGGATAAAAAGGAGAAAGCACATGAACATAGGAACATGAGTGGAAAATTTCTACATGAAGGAAAGTAAAGCCTCTCACAGTAGTACGGTCCATTATCTCTCTTTTATTAAGGAAAAAGTGAATAAGGGAAACTGAAAAATTTGTAATACACATTGTAATAGTGCCACTTATCTCTCACTTTTGAAGGAAAAGAGATACCTTAGTATTTTCCGCTGGTTGAGGAAATATAAGAAAAGGATTAACTTCTTCTTCAACAGGTTGCGCTGGAGAAGAATCCAAGGCACTCGCTTCACCCTAAAAAGAGCCATAACCTATATTAGCTGCTCTTTGCTTCCAAAATTGTATAGCCCCTTAAACAATTTTTTTTTAATTCTTTTTTTTTTTGGGGGGGTAAGAATGGCGCCGACGTGATATTCAATTTCCAGACCTATAGAGAAGATCAATCCATACCTTCACAGGCTTCTCCTTCTTCTTTTTCATAGGTTTTTCATCATCAGCTGCCGTCCTCTCACCAAGTAAAGCCTTAAGCTTATCATCAATATATTGCTGGTTCAGACAAATAAATCAGATGCATTGCGACAAATCACTGAAAACCAGCTCCTTTTCAGAAAATCCACTGAAAACCAGCAGGTAGAATGTTTCTATGATACAAATCTTAATTGAAACTCATAACAATTAAGATCAACATAATCACCACCTTCAGAATTTTTGCATCAGCCCATGGCTGCCTCTTTCGAACTTGACCACAAAGATTACCAACTGAAAGAATAATAATAAGATATATTACTTCAAAGAATAGGACAAACAAGACCAATAAGAATCAGTCAATATATATGCTAATGGACTATAGGGATGAGCATTGCCAACTGTTTAAGGAACGACCACATTAACAGCTTAACATGCTACCAAGGTTTGAAAATTCGGCGATCCGGATTGGAATCACTTGATTTGGATCAAGAATCGGCTGGGGCGATCCATTTCTTGTCATATATCATCAACCAGTCGTGTCTCCCCCAAAACCGGTCGATGCTGACGTCAGTGAAACGGTTATGACGTCAGTGAACCAGCTATAATGTCCTTGAACCTGTTTGCTTTATTTTTAATATGTTTATAATTTTTCAAACACTTTTCTTTATTGTTTATGTGTTGTTTTATTTTTCAAACACTTTTTTTTAATTGCTTATTTGAAATATCCAAAAAAAATTAATATTTTTTAATAACATAGAGTGGTAGAGGGCCCACTCCATAATTTAAAACTCCAAAATATTTTTCTCCACAAGCCCTCTCTCTCTCTCTCTCTCT